GCACTATATCTTTAATGGATTTAATTTATTTAAATATATTGATGGGAAAATAATTTAAGGAAAGGGAGATAATGGTTCATGCATATTTCATTATATTAATGGCCCATCTATGGAGTGGATGGCTCAGATCTCTCACCCCACAAGTCACCTTGATCAACGGTCCATATTCAATCTTAATAACGAGGCAAACTATGAGAAACCCTAAAAAAACCCTAGACCTAAATTTCATTATAAATAGTCTCCCCCCATCTCAACACCCCTCTCTCTCCCATAAACTCTCTCTCTCTCTTCCCTAGGGGCCACGCCCTTGAGCTCTCCCTACTCTTTTATATTTTTTTGCTCTCTCTCTCTCATGATCTAAGTTAAGGGTTGGAAAAATTAGGATTTGAGCCTAATTATTTTGGAGTTAGGGTTTTTGTAGAGATTTAAAGGTAGTTACCTAGTTTGGCGGAAATTAGCTTTTCCGGTTCGAGATTGAAGCTGGACCAGTGATCCCGCGCCATTAGATGTGGTGACTCGGTGTGGGGTGTAAAAAGCCCGGTTGAGGTAATCTCCAGCATCTTTTCTTTTAATTGTTTGTTCTTTTATTTTATATTCTCAAGTACAATATTAGGTTGTATGAATGACATCATGTAGTTGAGATTTATTTTATTGATGTGTTATTTAATTTTTGGAATTTCTATTGTTTGGAAAAAGACCATTTGTGAGTGATCTTATTGCTAAAATTATAAGGGATGATTATTATTTAAAAAAAAAAATTGTATTTCTCCGACAAATGATTACATAGGTCTTTCTTTCATTGTTATCAGAGCTAGTTTTACTTGATTGCCATTAGAAGTCTTTTCTTATTTTTGCTTGAGAATAAAAAATAATGGCTGCTCGTACCTTCATCTCTGAAATCCTGAAAACCGAAATGTTTGATGGGACCAACTTGGCTTCATGGAAAAGAAAAATCAAATTTGTGCTCTATGAAGAAAACTTGCATGAGGTACTCTTTGAGAACCGACCTCATCGTCCAACTGACGACTTATCTCAAATAATCAAATATGAGTACTCCAATTGGAAAAGGAAGAACTTGAGATGCAAACACATTCTTTTATGTGTCATGACTGACTCGTATGCTTCTGAGTACGAGTCAATCTATACTGCAAGTGAGATTTTTGATAAACTGGAAAGAGAGTATGCTGAACCCTCTCTCATGAAGCAAATTATGGTTATGAGAAGGTACAATGATTTAAAAATGGTAGAACGTTCTTGTGCACGTGTTTCATGCGCTAATAAGAGATTTGGAAGATACAGGCATGAAGCTCAATGAATCTATGCAAGTGATTCATTTAATGAATTCTCTTTCTAA